CGCACCCTTCCCGGCTGTCCCCAGCTGTGCCAGGCCAGTGGCCTTGGGAAGCCCTTGGGCTCAGCCACCTCTGCCCTCGCCCTCCTGCCTGGGTTCCGGGCCGCCCCCTCCCCCATCCTGTATCCCCGCCCACACCGGTCTGACCTGATGAAGAGCGTAGCCATCGTGAAATACCAGCCCCATTTCTCCTCTATCGGGATCTAGGGAAACAGAGAATACCCACGCTGCTGTTACTAGGACTCTCACCATCGTTCAAGAGTCCCATGCTCTCCCTGAGCCCCAAGAGGAAGCAAATGGGGTGGGACGGGCTCTGCTGTAAATACCCTTGATTATAGTCCTGGCTCTGCCAGGGACTGGTGGGTGGGCTTGGGCAAATCGCTTCACCTCGATCACAGAGGACGTGACAGGAAGAGCAGGAAAGCCCAGGAAGGCACCATTACGGGACCGGAAGGCCCAGAGAGGCGCTATTACACATCAGGAAGGCCCAGAGAGGTGCCCATCACACAGCAGGAAGGCCCAGAAAGGTGCCCACCACGGAGCAGGTATGACGTGCATCCCCCGCTCCCCCACCGCCCACCGCCCACCCTTTCCTCCCTTTGGTGCTGTCCCTTGGCCTCCACCTTCCTGGGACCCCCCCGGGACATGTTAAGTGAGCCCAGCTCTGCTGAAGCCTGGGACCCCTGAACTGTTGTCCCATTATTATTCTTGCCAATCTCACTGTGCATTTAGACCGACTTGGGCACTAGATAAAATATTTATGCTGTTATTTATGGGAGTAGCTGCTCCAGCCTCAGGAAGGAATTTTAATGAAAACCAATGAAGCCCCAGTGCTTATTGGCAGCTCTGGCTCAGGCCGGCCCCTCCCTCCACGCCCATCTCGTTGAGGGTCTCAGCTCCATGCTGCACTTGCCACCCCCACCGTGGCCTCCTGGGGGCCTTGCATCCCTCACCCCCCAACCCCAGCAGCAGGGCAAATGCATTTCTGAGCACCTGCATTGGGTGCTGTGGGGATGTGGCCCAGAATGGGACCTGCATGCATCCTGACCCAGTCGAGCCCACAGCCTGACTGAGAAGCAGATCCCAGCCTGAGTCGACGGGACTCGGCTGAGGGTCTGCCGCGTGCCAGGATCCTGACACCTATCTCCTCCATCTCACAACGAACCTGTCAGGGCGGTGAGGAGAACACACTGAGGCTCAGAGAGAGAAAGTGACTGACCCAGGGTCACACCCCTTATAAGGCCAGAGCTGGGACTGGGTCCCCACGTGTCAGGCTCCAAAGCCCGAGCTTGATTCCCCACGCTGTTGCCAGTGACTATGGCATGAGACCAAGTCTGATGGAGGCCATGAGCATGGTCAGACACAGTGCCCAGGACGGACAGGCAGCTCCCAGCCAGAGGATGTGGATTTCAGGAGGGTCTTGGGCCGGCAGTGGCGTTTCAGAGGGTGAGATCCCAGATGGAGCTCACGTAAGCAGGGGCGGTGGGGGGTGGGCGTGCACACAGTGTGTGCGAGTGGGATGCGAGGCCAACCTGGGTAAGTTGGGCTGTGCTGTTCTGGGGAGGCCTGTGAACTTGGAGGGAGGGAGGGGACCTTAAGTCAGATCCCCCAGCTGGCGTGACTGCCCAGGCCCCACCCAGGCCACCCGGGAGAGGCCCCATGAGTTGCATTTCTCAGCCAGTATTCCCCGATATCTTCTCTGGGTGGCCCTGGGCCAGACGGTGAGGACAGGAGAGGAAAGGCAGGTCTCACCTTCGGGGCTCCAGGTCTGGCAGGAAAGCCAGCCCCGAAGAGACAGTTAGGGTAGAAGGAACATCCGGGCTATGGGAGCCCAGAGGAGGTGTCCTAGACCATTCAGGGGGTATCCCAGGGCTTCTTGGAGGAGGGGGTACTGGAGCAGGGTCCTCAAGGATGAGTAGGAGTATCCAGGCGGATATAGTGAGAAAGAGCAGTCCAGGAGGACGGGACTTGTGGTGCAAGAGCTCTGAGATGAGCGGGCAGGGCGCGTGGGGGTCTGCATGTGCTCTTGAGGGCTGGGACCCCTGGGGCCAGGGGTGGGGAGAAAAGCCAGCAGGGGCGCAGCGGGGGGTGCCCCGAGTGCTAGACTCAGGATTTGGAGCTCATCTTCAAGGCAGTGGGGAGCCATAGGAGGGGTTAGAGCTGAAGAGTGCCAAGATCTGATGTGTGTTTTTCATTCACACCACCCTGAAAGGCAATCCTGCTACTTAGGTGAGCTATCCTGGGAGGCCTTATCTACCAAGGAGGATGATCACATGGGCCTCTCAGGAGCTGTGAGTGCAGTGCTCCCTTTCTCCTGGTTTGGGTTAGAGCTGAGCGGGGTTAGGGTTCCTTAGGAGGCTGCTTTGTCCACGGTGGCCTGTTTCAGTGCTCCGTGAGGCAACGCAGTCTACCCCTGGAGTCCTGAGACATCGTGTCGCACCCTGCTGTCCACTCTCTACTGTGCTCCCAGGACCTCAGGTCCCCTATGGGGTCCCAGGTATCTTTCTTGTCTCCGCAGGTCCCCAGTGTTGGAGAGTAATGTGTTGTCCCCAGAGGTCTCCCTGGTTCATAGACACTCTTGTTTGGTATTCAAGTGGCAAGAAGTTGAATTATGGTGTCCAAAACACACAGTTAGTGTGTGACAGAGCTGGTCCTAGCCCCAAGCCTTGTCCACAACACTGTTGTCTTGATCAGTCTCCTTATTATATATCTGAGGACATTGAGACCAGAAGGTGAAGTGGCTTAATGTTCCACACTAGTTAGCATCAGGGCTTAAAATCCAGTGATTTCACCACCACTCTGTTTGCTGTTCAATATTCTCAGGTTAATGAAAGTGCCTAGTTTCGGTTTTCACTAAGCAAGCAACACCACCACCTGGTGGCAGCATTTCTGAATTGCAGGGACAACTCCTAAGCATTAACTTTCCTCCTTCCCCTCAACTTGGAAACGAAAATTAATTTTCCAAAAAGTAGCTCGCTGAGTGACATCTGTGTGACAAATCCCAGACACAGTTTCTAATCAGATCCACTTGAGAGTGACCTTTGCAGGAGGCTTGGTGGGTTGCAGATGGGGTCAGTGGATATGGGCTGGAGTTAAGGGGATACACAGATCCAGCCTGGGCTTTAATCCTCTCTACTCCTGTGATGAAGCTGGTGTTGGCTGTTCACTCAGCTGTGCCATCCTGGCAGTAAAAATGGGCTGTCTCTTTAAAAATCCTTCTGGCTGTAACCAAAGCAGCAGCTGAAGCTGTTACCAGGGGCAACCTGGCAAGCCATAGTGCGTTAAATTAAATTAAACAGGCCTCTGACTGCCCCCGCCCCTCCTGGAGAAGGAGGGAGCTGTGCTACCTCTCTCCTGGAGAATAAAGTTGTTGTGAAACCTCTGAAGGCTGCAAGGAATCAGTAACAGAGTTTATGACTCCCAGAGGCAAAATGTTTGAAGGCAGCCTGGGAGGAGGCTCACAGGATTTTTGTCAGAAGAGGAGCATTCACGGAGGGCCTGCCTGGAGTGGGCTTCGAGCAGGGCATCCCTCACTTTCTCTCGTAGAGTCCTCATCACAGTCCCATGAACTGGGGATTCCGTGGTCTGGGAGGGGGAGGGGGCTGGTTGGCCTGCGAGTCGAGGCTTTATGCTGGCTCCGATTAGGCTGCAGTTCTGTGGCAGATTCAAGCCCACGCTAACCCTCAAGTGAGATCCATAGACCCTGGTCCTAGCTGAAGGTGAGAGCGAGGCACAGACCTCCCACCAGGTGTTCTCGGCACATTTCCCAGTTCTCTGGCACCCTCGCTACTATTTTCCTCATTTTAGGGATGGGGAGACAGAGGCTGAAAGAAGCAGAGACTTGCCTGCTTAACCTGATATTTCTCTCTGACTTCAAGTTCATGGTCTTCCCACTCATCTGGCTGCCAGGAGCTAGGGTTTGTACAGCGTTTACCATTTACAAGTGGGAAAATGGTGGCAAGACGGCATCCTCAGAGCCACGTGGCACTGTGAAAGCCTGGACAGAAACCTGGAGACAGCGCTCTTTTTGCTGTACTAATGATAGGCAATTTCACTGAGCACTTACAATGCAGCAGGCACTTGGTTTATATGTGTTAACTCATTTTACTCTCAAGGGTTACCCAGAGGTAGGGACTGTGATTCTCCCAAGTTCACAGAGAAGGCAACTGTGGCACAAAGTGGTTAGGGAGTATGCCCAGAGTGACACAGTTAGAAGGCACCAGGGCTGGGAACCCAGTGGCTTATTTCCGGAGTTCCTGCCTCTAACTACCCTATGAGTAGTTCTCAAAGTAAGGCCCCTGGGCCAGCAGCATCAGCACCATCTGGGAATTGGACAGAAATGCAAATCCTTGGCTCACGGTGTTCTAACAGGCCCTCTGATGCATGCTGACTTGAGGACCACACACTCGGCTCTCACTGTACCACACCACAGAGAGTAAAAAGGGCCCACAGATGTGTCTCTTGTGTCATGAGTAAAGGATCAGAAACTACATCCTCAAGGAAGCCGGAAGAGCCAAGCTCCTACCGGCTTGGTGAGTAAGTGACAAAGGTTAGTGATCTTGCAGAAGGCGCAGGAAATAGTAAGGTTAGGATAAGCTGTACCAGGAACAGGTATGTGTTGACTCAGGTGGGTACAAGGATGATCACAAACCTTCCACGAGCATTGACCTCTAAAGGTGACCCCTAAAGAAGGAAGAGCTGGGGAGCTTGGCTGTTTGATGGGATTCCAGTAGAAGATCTTGTCTTCTACACCAGTGGCTTACAGGTCTGTGTGCATCTGAATAGGCTACACGGAGACCTTGCTGGTTCTTAGAAAAACATTTGCCCTGCAGTTTGAACTTTGCTCCGATGATGGGCGTCCTCGGTTCAGAGTCAGTCCCTGAGAGCTGACTAATTCTCACTGGGGGAGGGGGAATGACAAAGAGGGAAGGGAACGGACATTCCTCCAGTGTCACCGGGCACCTCAGTGCATTGTGGCCCTGGGTTCTCATAGCATCCTTAGAAGATACAGTGTGGTGCCGGGCTTGGTGGCTCAGCCTGTAATCCCATGCCTTTGGGAGGCTGAGGTGAGTGGATTGCCTGAGCCCGCGGGTTCGAGACCCGCCTGGGCAGGCGAGACCTCATCTCTACAATAAATCAGAAAATTAGCCGGGCGTGGTAGCGCGCGTCTGTAGTTCCAGCTACTTGGAAGGCTGAGGCGGAAGGATCGCCGGCCCCAGCGGTTGAGGCTGCGGTGGCCGGGAGCGGCCACTGCACTCCGGCCTGGGTGACAGAGTGAGACTCCAACTCAAAAAAAAAAAAAGAGAAGATACAGTGTGTTCTTCTTCTCTTATTTATTTTATTTATCTTTATGTCTCTAAACCCAACGCTACCCTGTGAAAGTTTTTTTTTTTCTTTTGAATCATGAGGTCTCACGCTGTTGCCCAGGCTGGAGTGCAGTGGCACAATCACAATTCACCGCAGCCTCGGTCTCCTGGGCTCAAGCGATCCTCCTGCCTCAGCCTTCTGAAGTGCTAGGATGACCAGTGTGAGCCACCATGCCCAGCCTTCTTAAAATTTTTTTGTTGCTTGGCTAATTTTTAGATATTTTGTAGAGACAAGGTCTCACTCTGTTGCCCAGGCTGGTCTTGAACTCCTGGCCTTAAGTCATCATCTTGCCTTAGCCTCTTAAAGTACTGGAATTACAGGTGTGAGCCACCATGCCCGGCCCTCCTCCCAGGAACAGAGACGAAGAAAAAAGCCACCGGAAGTGCCAGGATTCAAGTTCAGCTCTGCCTTCGCCCAACGCCCTGTTATTTCGACCTCATCCTGCTGATGGTGTGAAGGCTGACACTGCAGAAATAAAAGTCACAAGGCGGCAGGCCCCGGAGTGCGTCCTTCCTGCACAACTGGAATGTCCTCTGTGACGACAGAGCAGCCTTTCTGCTCCTGCACACCCCGCTCCGCCCTTCCTGGCCCCAGCCTGGGTGTGGGGGCTCCCACAAGGGGGTTTGTCTACCCCACACCCAGCTGCAGGTGTGGACGCTCAGGCTCCTGCCTCATGGGGTGTGGGAAGTGAACAGAGGGATGGGATTGGAGCCCCGCCCCTGCCTCTCACTCCCCGGGGGTCCCGGAGAAGCCACTGGCTCAGCTTCTGCGGCTGCAACCAGGAATGGCCTCGCACGGCCTGCTTGGGCTACAGGCATGTTGGCTGGGAGGTAAACGGGACTGGGCAGAGGGAATTTGGGGATTGGGTGCTACCAAAGTAGATACTCGGTCCTATCTTGGGTTCCCGTTTGAGCGAATCGACGTTAGTCCCCTGCGGCCACCTTCTTTGGGGTCCTGGGTCTGTGACAGACCCTGTGGGTCCGCTTTGCTCTGTGCTGGGTCCCAGATTTGCTGGACTGTGGTGAGCCACACCTCTATTCTACGGTCACTAGGAAAGGGCCGTCCCCTGTCTGTGCAGGGTCGCAATCCACCTCCAGCCCCATAGCACTGGGTGGGTCTGCAGAAGTCTCTTGCCCTCTGCAGTAGTGACAGTGATGCCGGAGTTCTCAGCTCCTCCTGTGGGGCTGCGCTGTGCCCCTGACAGATGTCGTCTTTTCTCCTATAAAGGAGCAAGCTGGGCAGGACAATGCTGAAAGCAGCTTTGGCTCTGGGGTTCTGTATCTTTGAGGAGGGAAAGACCCAGCCACTCATGGCTGTGTGCCCTTGCACAAGTCACTTCAGGTCTCTGAGCCTCAGTTTGCTTGTCTGCAGAATGGAATGAATAACAGCGTGGCCTTCCCAGCATTTCTGTGAGGATCAAATGAGACCATCTGTGAAAAGCACTTGCAGGCACAGTGCCTGGCTCACCCTCCAGCTTCATCCACCTCCTCTTCTAGTTGAACCCAAATCCAATCACTCAGAATTGTGGAGGGGGGTGTGTGTGCGTGCACGTGTGTGCCAGAGACCCTAGGGTTGCTGACGGAAGGTACCCCTCAGCCCTTCCTGTCAGGTCCTGCCCCACTGGGTGCAGGATGGATTGGAATGGCCACACCTTTGTTTGTGAGACTGGCCTCCCAGCACTACCTCCTTTCCTACCCGCCCAGCTGGCTGGCGAGGTCTTGACAACCCTGTGCCACACTGGGTCAACCTGGGCGAGTCCCTTCCGCTCCCTTAGCTGGCTATAGCCAGGGTACAAGGAGGAATCACCACACCCAACTGGCAGCACGTCTGCGAGGTTTGAATAGAAATCAGATGTGTAATGGAATAAAGTTCTGAGCTCTGGGCCTGGTACACAGACACCATTGTGGGGGTGGTTCCTGTCATCCCGGGGCCTGCCCTGGGTGCATGTGTGTGTGTTCATATGTGTGTTAAGCCACTAATGTTTTGGGGAAAGGAGAAGAAAAGCCAATTGCTGAGTTGGGTTGGGACAGGGATATTATTCTCTTTTCCAAGAGGGGGTCTTGCTACATTGCCTAGGCTGGTTTCAAACTCCTAGGCTCAAGTAATCCTTCTGCTTTAGTCTCCCAAAGTACTGGAATAACAGGCATAAGCCACTGTACCCAGTCTTTGGATATTATTTTTTTAGAGAAATATAAGTCCAAGTCACCTTCTTCTTAAAAATAACAGGGATTTTGACTGGGCACAGTGGCTCATGCCTGTAATTCCAGTGCTTTGGGAGGCTGAGGCAGGAGGATTGCTTGAGGCCAGGAGTTCAAGACCAGCCTGGGCAATATAGTAAGATCCTGTCTCTACAAAAAACAAAACTAAACTGAACTAACTGGGCATGGTGGTATGCCTGTAGTCCCTGTAATCCCAGCTACACCTGAGGCTAAGGCAGGAGGATTGCTTGTGCCCATGAGTTTGAGGCTGCAGTGAGCTATGATCACACTCTGCACTCCAGCATGGGTGATTGAGCAAGATTCTGCCACAGAAAAAGGGGAGAGGGATGATTTTAGGACTTAAAATCCAGTTATTCAACTAAATTAAATTTAATAACAGTCGTAAACTCCTGGTAGGGTAGTGAGAGGAGACCCCTCCAGGTGGCGTCCTGGAGATCTAGGGTAGAGGAGTGTCAAGAGGGGAGGTGGGCAGGTTGCCACGCGCAGGAGACGGGGAGACAAAGGCAGAAGGCAGAGGCAGTCAGGCCGGGAAGGAGCCCGCGGGACCCAGCTGAGAGGGTTGGGCGCCCGCTGGGGTGGGTCTGCGCCAGCCTGTGCTGTGGCAAGAGATTTTCAGTCCTCACGGGCTGGGATTGTCCCAGTTGGGAAGAGCCCCTGGAGCTCTGATAATCTGGATTATGAAAGAAAGCGTGGTAAGCGTCCACAATCCAGGCCATCGTCCAGAACAGGCAGAGCCCGAGCTAGAGAGAGGGGCGGTGCTGGAGAGGGGCGGGGCTGGAGAGGCCTGAGACAGAAGGCTCACCCTGGGATGGGGCTGGGGGAAGATTGTGAAATCACTTGGGGGCAAGAGAGAGGCTGGGAACGGTGTGTGGAAGAGCAGCCACGTGCTGAGCAGGGGCCAGAGGTGAGGGGGGTGTTGGGGGTGTGGGGGGGAGGGCGTGGGGGGCA